AGATATAGATCCATCAATGAGCATTCTAAAAAGCTGAAGATGAAGAGAGAGCACTCATCCTCTTTCCTATCAGTCATCTTCACCAAAGGTGTTTTTCTGTCACCTCAAAAAATCAAGAGTATCACCATGAACACAATCCTTCTGTAACTGTCACTCAATAAATAACAAATTATAATAAAAATGTGTCACCTTTGATGCATTGCATCATAACTTGTATTAAGACTTGCATAAGACGTCATTCACACAGAACAATGTAAAATGGAATGAAAAAAATAAATGTAAAAAAATGTCTAGAAATGTGTTTTTTAAAGTATTTTTCAAAACATTATGTTAACTAGACCTCTGGGGGTTTTAGAAAATGCTGTGTAAAGACATTGCAAAAGATGCAAGAAGCAAATGCAACAGCCAAACCATGTCCGTCTGCAAGTTTACATCGAAAACAATGGAAAAGCAGCACAGTGTAATGCAAAAATGTGTTCTGTGTGAACGTCCCCTACAACAGGAAAAGGTGTCAATCATCTAATAACTAACATGACAGAACCTCATTTGTTATTTTTCAGCTAAATTATTAATTTGTCTGAAGTTTACCTGTAATATATAGTTTTTTTTGGACTGGCTCAAGCAGACACACAGGTTCCCTGAGTGAGCCCAGCACATAAGTTGTAGGCAGGTTTAAGATAAATACTGGTGCTCCATCCTTCGTTTCCCATATAGATACTTGCCCATTTCTCTGCATCAACAAAATCTATAAACAATTTCAGGAATTAGTACTGATACATTTACATGTACAAGTTCTTGACAGATACTTTCTTAATAAAGTGACTTAAGATCTTGGACTAAAGCTAACTACAACTGCAAACAAAGTTATTAACGTACCTGTCACAACCATACACCATATATATAAGAAATAATTTAATCCAGAAGCTAACATCTGTCAAATACAATATTATGCTGCAAAATTTTACAATACCAGACGCTTCAGGAAGGGCACAGGTTGAGCAACAGTGACAGAACTGCCTTGGCCTGCAGGTCTGATTAGAGACAGTCATTATATTTATGTCAATCATGTCAAGTTTTAGTATGTTAATGGATATGATGTTAACGTATTTGGTCTTGGTGGGCAAGATCTGCTATGCACATCAATAAATACTGCTGTAAGATATGCTGCTGCTACATTTATAGACATGCATAAATCACATAGCAGATTTAGGCAGGTGGAACTGGGGGAGGTAGAGGGTTTTAGAGGAACTGCAGGACCAGCTTACAGCAAACACTGAACCAGACTATTAGCTATTTATACACCAAATTCTGTATTTTTAAACCCATTTTAATAACTGTTTATTTTGTACCTTTCAATAAGTGCAACAGTGCATGTGTCTCCTCCTCTGCCCGCTGTCACACTGTAGCATGCCCCATTTCTGCAAGTGAGCACTAACTGTAGTGTGGGTAAAAAGGGACCCTGAAAGAGTGGAGTGACTGGCAATTGACTCTGCAAAAGGAGTTTCATCCTGTAAATGGAGCCGTCTCCTGGGATCACAATATTGGTATATGGACACCCTGCAGAAGACATTCAAGGGTAAGATTCCTTCTCTCAGTATGATCAGTGAGACATTGTATTGTGCCATTATATCATGGTTTATTATTATCATTGAGTATTTATCAATATATCATAAATAATTAAATACTGAAGCAGATTTACCAAACCGTCGGTCCCATATAGTGTGCAGGCACTGATGGCAGAGTAGAGGATTTCTTGAGAATTGGGCCACAAAACATCTGGTCTGGGTTCACTGTCTGATCCAGGAACAAATTAAAATATAATTAATACACATGACTAAAAATGTGTCCTTGTAATGTTAATATACTGTATTTTCTTTCTTATTTATGCAGTATAAATGTATGAGTGAATGGCTGGAGTGCCCTTCTCTTTAGGGGTCTTCAACAGAAGATAATGTAAGAGATTATGGCTGCCATTCCACCACAGGCACACAGCAATGGGAATATCTTCAAAGATAATTTGAAGAAATATTATAAATGCATATTCAGAGAACCGACTGTACTGTAAATTTTGATTACACACCGTTACAGGCTATATTAATAACTGAAAAACATACATGTGAAATCATCTCTTGAGTTCATGACTCACCTCTAGCTGCTTTGGCTTCCCCAAGCATTGAAAGAAACCCCTCACGCAGTAAGAAGTGACAAGTACAGTTGCTGTAAGGAAAAAATTATAATTTTGTAATGTGAAAAAATAAGCCTCTAGTGGTGTGGTTCTAGTGTTTTAATGCACACTTCGCCAGATATATCACATATGTTCAGTTCAGCTGCTCCATATATGCAAAGTTTTAATTCTTTCCATCGTTTTAGTTCAATCGTGGCTGCAACTTAACTAAATTACAAGAAGGCAATGAATTAGAACAACATAGCCACAATTTAACTAAAACGAGAACAAATTAATCAAACATGACCATGAATTAATAAAACATGGCCAAAAAAGTTATGAGAGCACATTCATAATTTGTGGTCACAATATCTATTTTTGTTCTGCATGTCATGGGACTCCCTACTGATTTGTTGTTTACATATAAGCTCAACAATTAGTAATTTATCAAGGGTTTGTTTGTCTTTCTGGCAAACATTTTGTTGCATTGCAAGTTGTACGTATGATTCTTACTGTAACAGCTCATGTTACATTCTGGACATCATTGATTTGGAACAAAAATTTTTATATTAACAATTTTCATTATCAATATTATTTTATTAAACTTTTTACTTTGGGGTGAAATACCACTTAATATTAGATATATTCTTAGAGGTATGGTTGACACTTTTTGTTGGTTGTAACGATGGATTGGTTGTTGTGTCTATATAATGCAAAGATATTCATAGAATTAAAGTGTCAAAATACTTTTTGGGATGACTTTACAGTATACCGTATTGCAGTATTAATCAAGCCTACCTTGGACCTTCTGCTTTTTGCTGTAGTGGTCTCACAGAGCTGGAGCTGAGGTACTTCATGAAAATTTTCCTAAATGCTGCATCCTGGTTTTCCCATTGACGACTACTAATGAGGTGATTTTGGCCTGAGCCTATTATAGTGCCTTCCTCTGTCTTCTGTAGGACCTCAGATGGACTTTTCAGAGAGGTTCCTTGAAGACATGAACAGTAAAAGAAAGACATAAACTTATTTTAGAGCAGTGCTTTAAACTAAATACCTGCAGGGATTTCTGGAGGTTTGATCTTCATGAGTAAGACTACTGGAGACAGTTTGGCTTCTGTGGTTTGTGGGGTTTGTGTAGCCTATGGAAGAGACAGAAAAATATGATCATCTCATTAAAGTAATTTAGTAAACAATAAAACAAACATACAGAATTTTTTTTTTTAAATTTTTTTAAACACATAACAGTTTAAAATGTCCCTCCAAGGAAATTGCAAATTTTGAACAGACATCAACAAATGCACCATGTTAAGAATTGTTTAAAACATAAATACAGTAAAGAAGAATAGAAGGTTTACCAGGTAAATTTCCAACGTAACTATAGCAGTTACCTGTTTGGTTTCCAGCTCTTTGATCCACACATCTTGTGGGAAGCGATAGACATCCAGCCAAACACAGCCACTAGCTTCATTGAAAATACACCACAACAGCATTAATGAATCAGTAGTACTCAGTCACAGTTAACTGTATTTTTAGTTTTATATTACATTTCCATATTTTAATAGGAAATTTACGTCATGATGACTTGCAGCTCCAAAGTCCCCACTTCTAGACACTTCAAAATTTGCACAGATGTTTCTTTGTGTTACATTTCTCACAGGAAGATATAAACCAATGTAATTCTAAATGTGTTCATTTACAATAGAAAATCAACTGCATACATAAAAATAAGCTCTTATAACAGTATTATGAACTCACAGTTTCGTTGATGACTTTAATTAATAAATATTCTCTATGTGATGCACAAAAAGCCGTGCAATACCTTAGGTGACAGAAGAGAAAATTAATATGTATAATCAAATACAGAAAATAAAAAAGGGGAGTTTTTAATGTAAATTGTCAAAATATACCACCACTCTCAGGAAATTACCCATGTCATCCAATGTGCATAAGAGTGCACATTTCCCAGCGAGGCACAAGAGATGCTGGTAAGCTCCACTCCTTCATCCTGCCATGTTCTTACACAGGTGAGAGTGGATGTACTGATGACGGACAGACCATGAGTGTGACCCAGAAACAGGTAAAGTCCATCATCAGAGCACACAATGCTATTAGTTCTGCCTGGAAGCTAAGAACCAAAAAACAAATAAGCATATGTAAAATGAACATTTTGGACAAATGCATACAAAGCACATGTGCAAAGGAATATGATGAGGCCATATGATTGTACATGTTAAACATACCTTCATTTCTTTAGTAGCACTCAGCACAGGGATTTGTCTTGCTGCTCTCTCGTCATCCCTCTTGATCTTCTCCTGCTCTGATATAACTTCCTATGCACTGTCATCAAGGTTATTTAACAACTTATTGATCACTCTCGCAGACTCAGGTAGATTATTATCAGGCTGCTGCAGATCTGTGAAATAAGTCACATCATCATCTTCACAGCTGCTGTAATCTGATGGCTCTGGGATCTCCAAACCTCTTCTGACATTCACAGCCATCTTGTGTTATTTCTGGAGGGGAAAGAAGAGTATAAAACTGAATTGCAGAATGAATTTTTGGCAGACCATATTTACACACACACACACACACAGGTTTGTTTTTGTGAAAAGTGGGGACATCCCATAGGCTTAATGGTTTTTATACTGTACAGACCGGAGAAAAACATGGTGTTTTTTCATATGGCACTAAAGTAATATAATGTACCATAATACCATGATATTATTGGAATTACCTTCCAGTTAGTATTAGATAAAAATGGTGTATACGGTAATCAAACACACGCACACACGCACATGTAATACACTTTAGAAAATAACCTAAATACGGTCTCAGAAAATGGAAATATAAATAGATAACTGTAAAATATAGAAAGCTATCACATAAAATCACTAGATTTTTGGTAAACAAAGCAACAGAGTGCATCAGTATACAGTATACTACCAAAATAAGTTATTCACAGATCAGTAGGTTATTTACATACACCTTAATGTTACATAAACAGTAACAAAACAACAATACTTCATGTTCCATAAGCTTCTGCTGCTGCCATTTCAGTAAAACTCCATTCAGTCTATGTTCATTTTAGCGCTTATCTCCATCAGCTTCATAAAAGGAGTGTAGATCTGTGACGGGCTGGTCCTCGCTCTAGGACTTCTGGTAGAGGACAGTTCTGAGGCTGTTGGAGATTTGGAGTCCCCGTCTTCATGGCTGGTCTGAACATAATTTGAAGTTTGTGTGGGACTGCTTGCAGTTTCTTGTGTATTTACTGCACTGGAGCGCAGCATTGAGCTGTACTGACCGGGAGTGTATTTAAGAAGGCTATAGTTCAGTCTGCTAGGGGATCTCGGGGCCGATGAGATGGGGCTGGGTTGGACAGGAGCGACATACAGCGGCTCCTCAGCTCTATGAACACAGGAAGAGTATGTGTGTAAAGCCATGGCCTCGAAAGTAGTTTTAAATTTCTTATGGCAAGGTGATCTTGCGCTCATTACCTCATGGGGAGGTCACAGCCAACTCCAATGTCCCTGGTGGCTACTTTAGTCTCAGATGCTCTCTGTATAGACATAAAATACTTCAACTTGTCTCCTAACTCATTATTCTAGGAAAAGAAGCAAAGCAAAGGACAGAGTCAGACCATAGGCATGGGAAATTAAGTAGAGAATTCATTTCACATGTAAAGAGGACACCGGACAAAGACCGATTCAGTTTAGATGTGTGAGAAATCTGAATGACAACCAAAGGGACTCGCTGACAGAATAGCAATGGATTCAGGAATAGTCGCATTCAGCGTGCTTATTCCAACCAATCTGTGTCTTTCTAGATTGGTGAAGATGAGGGGCATGCAAAAATCACATCTTGCTACATGGAAACCGTTGCTCTTACCTCACACTCCACAATGGCAATCCTGTCCAGCAGCTCAGCGATGAACATATCCTTCTGTGCAACTTTTGCTCTCAGTGTTTCAACCTGCGGAATTGTTTGTTTGTTTTATAATTAAAAAGATTCAATTACAATAATCGTGTCATGACTCCTTGAAAGGACATTTTGTGTACATGGTATTCTCTTTATGAACAGAACGAACAGTCTCTGTAAACCCTCACCTCCTCTATCATGGCCTTGACCTTCCTCTGTTGAGAGAACACCATGTCGTTGAGATGCTTTATTCGCTCTTTCAGTTCTGCTGCTTCCGCTTTCAGCTGCTCCGACCTGAGAAAGAACATGTTGCTTAGGAGAGATATAATATATGCAATTAAATACTGAAATACAATTCAGTATTATTGGCCATCAGTATTATTGGGAGCTTTTTTTTTATCAAAGGGGACATAATTAAGACTTTTTAAGAGGGAAAAACAAACCTAAAAACAAATTAATTGCACAGGTTTATGTAATTAATCGGATTAATCTTAACATAAAAATTTGTAAACAGTAACATTATAACATAACATTAATATAGAAACAAAAGAAAGACAGTATTTTAAAACAATATTTTAAATATTTATAATATTAAATACTATGAATGAAGGTCAGTATCACTTACACCAAAACCAATTAATTATTTATTTATTTATTTATTTATTCATTTCTGGGAACAAAATGAGTAATTATAGCCATTTATCAGTATAATTAAGGACCAGGCCTAAACTACAAATCATTAGACCATTTTTTATTTATCATTTATTTACAATTACATAACATTGAAAATATTCTAACAACGTTTAATTTAAGTGAACCTTAAACAATATTCACACAAACCCATTATAATAAACGTCACATTTAGCTGTGTCTTTTATACAGTGTGTTTGGTGATATTTCTTTCTCTGGGTACCTGTAGGTATCAAGGATGTAAGGAACATGAAGACATGTTCAAATAGTATAGCTACTTCAGAAAAAAAAAAAAAAAAAAAGAGTTCTCCATTAACGTGAGTTTCTTTTAATGCATCAAAAAGCAAATATTAATCACAGAAATGCATGCATTATTTTCTTAGTCCTATATACTTAGTTATGGTATCTGGTTGTTATAGATCTTAAGCTGTCCACTGAAACCATCCTAAATGAAAGAAACATGACATCACCACTGGTTTCAGCTGCAAACTTGTTATACTGTAGATATACATGAAATGTCTTACTGTTTGGCCACAGCTTTATCTGCATGGTCAGTTTCGTCCAAACCACGTAAGCGTTGTTCACATTCACAAAGCTTTTTTATCAGGTCACCCTTTTCCTGTTATAAAGAGACAAGTGTTGAATAAAGAGTTTCCTTCAGGGTAACAGGCAAAGGCTGAGCCAACTGATATTATTTACCTGAGCCATACAGTTTAGTAGCCTCTCCACCTCTGTCATTTTTTGATCCCTTTCAGCGATCTTTGCCTCAGCTGTCTGAGCATTCCTCTCTGCCTCCTCAAGCCTCCTCATGTAGTCATCAAGCTGTGCCTGCAGACACACAGGTCAGAACTACAGTCATTTATTTGCCTCTGTTCATCATCAGCCATCATCATCATTCTCTCGGAAATCTTCACTATTACCACTAGGTGGTACCCTTACTTAGAAAAAAGTTTTTTCAACATTTTTCTCTCTTTCCTGGTGAACTACAGATGTTTCCTGTTATGAGATTGGAATCCTTACTCCCTGCTTGTGAAGTATAATACAAATGTAGTCTTTTTACAGTGCGACTTACAATCTTTCAAAAGTCACACACATTAAAACAAATGCATTTGTCACATTGAGCACGTTTACATGCACACCAGTAAGCTGATAACTCACAAATATCAGCTTATTAAAATAACCAGTTTTCCCCATGTACCTGCACATCAGTAACCTGACAACGCAAGTAAGCTGCGTTTACATGACTTCATTAATAAATCCGGTTATTTCCCTATAGTGACGTCAAAATATAATCATTTTAGTATCTGACTCCAAGTATTCCATACATTTGTCAGTTGTGATGTTAAATTAAGCTTGCAACATGTCGGGAATTATTATCCTCTCATGCAGTTATAAACGCAGCATTGTGACTGAACCACTTCTACTTCTGCTGCACGAGATGAGAACACATTTTTATCATTTTCTGAGTCATGAAAAAGTCTGCTTTTATGATATATTTCCTTCTTTCTTTACTGCAAGATGTTTGCTCGGTCTAGATGGGCTTAAATCTGCACTAACAGAAAGCGGGTTATTGTGTTTACATGCTGTGCGAAATCGGAGTAAGAGGCAAAAAACTACCTGTTGCGACCGGTTTATGCTTACGGCGTTTATGACCTTACTCCGATCAAAGAAAACGGGTTACCGCGTTTACATGACCAAGTGCGTTTTCGGTTTATTAAGCATAATCGGCTTAAGAACGTGCATGTAAATGCGCTCATTATCACGCAGTGCAGTTCTTGCTGAACTAGTTGGACAGTAAGGCATTGTGAGTGTCTGGTTGTTTGGTTATATCTGTACCTGCAGAGTCTCTATCTCCTCTCTGTATTTCCTCTGCTGTTCCTGCAGCTGTTCCTCATATTCCTTCTGTAGCTTTGCACTCAGGTCTTTTAATGCTTGAGTCTTGGCCTCCTTGGAAGTCTCCACCTATGTACAACATGCA